TTCTAAGAAACTCACAAAAGGTCTGGGGATTTAGCTCAGTGGTTCCAGCACCTGCCTCGCAAGCGCAAGGGTCTGAGCTCGATCCCCAGTACGTAAAAAAAAAAAAAAAAGAAAAGAAACTCACAAAAGAAATAAGAGAAGACAAGTTGAAAAATCTAAGAACTGTAGCAAAGTGGCAATGATTTTTATGATAATATTTTAAAAGTAATGACAAGAGTGATCTAAACTTCAAAGGGATGAGGCTGCTCTGTGTGTGTCTGGGGCAAGGGTACTGCAGACTGAATCCAGGGCCTTCACACTGAGTATATGCCCATCTCCTTTTTTGTTTTGAGACAGTGTCTCACTAAGTTGTTTTGTACTGGACCTAGCAGATACAATGGCATAAATGTAAGAACTCAACTATTCCAACCACGGATCAAAGTTCAAGGACAACTAACCAGCAAAACTTTTTGTGTGTGCCATTTTATTCTTTTTTTTTCTTTGCTTAAATTCTTTTATTGGTATGTTTTAAGTATACAATACATTTACATTTATCATTGGGTGCTCGTACCTGTACATGATGTATTTTGGTTCTTATTTTTTCCCCGTTGCCTGTGTGCCCTTACCTCCTCCACCCTTCCCTATTTACATAGACTTTGATTCCATTTTTTTCTTTTCTCATAATTTTTCCTTTCCTTTCTTTACTTTCCCCTTCCCCTCCTACTTCCCCTACCCCTTTGGACCTTTTCTTCCTATTTCAAATTATTCATTTAATCCTTATTTACACTTTCAGTTTCTCACACTAGAGAAACTATTTAGTATTTACACGTGTGTTCTATTTATTAATTTTAAAAATTTATTATAGCAAAGGGCACATTACCATGAATCCCACTCACAACATTTCCCCTCACTTCGAACACATTCATCTGATCTTGCCACCTTTGGAAGAAGTTCTGGAAATCCTCTTTGGGGTCTCTAATCCTTGGTTTTTGAACAGAAGGCCAAAGAATGGTTATGAAGTTTTACAGAAATAAAACTAACAGAACCAAAACAAAACCAGTTTGTATAATAGCTCTGAACCAATGAATATAATCTTTTTACAATAATACCATATTTTATCAAAGATATTTAAACAAAAACCAATTTGTTTGAAAAATGTTAGTTTTACCAAAAAAGCTGTTAACAATATTTATAGAATACTTTTTATGAGCCCTGGTACAAATTCTTTAGAGAACAATCAAAACTGTGGATGACAAAAGACTCATAGCAGCTCTGGTTAAAGCTCTGAGGAATGTTTAGCTAGTAAAACAACCTACTTTGCAATATATACTTAGCATTTGGGGATAATATAGTAGTTATGATTTACAGCATTTCTTTATACAAGAAATATCAAACTTTTATTATGTTTTAAAATATATATTTGGCTATTCATCTTACGGCAAAATAGCAATTTTACAATGTAATTTATTAATAATCAGTTTTTATCTGATTACAAGGTATTAAATGAC